TAGAAAGTGGATTAAGTATATCGTATAAATTAAATAAATCGCAATTTCTTTTTCTGCTCTATAGATATTCTTAAGAAATTCTATATAAAAAAATATGTATCCATGTTAATATAAATTGACATATTTTTAAATTTGCTCGGAAATGTAGTTATATATATTAATTGAGAACGTTAAATCTTGTTACGTGTAATTTTAGGACCGACATTTGCACCGACTGCCATTAAAATATTTTCTTAAAAGCGTATATACCGCCTGGCCCACATTAGCCCAATTTAAAGCATGTAAAATACATATAAATGGACTAATAAAATTGTATTTATCCGGTGTAATGCTGAATGAACGGAACACGTTGGCCGACTTATTTCGATCTATTTTGTTCTTGCGATTTGCTAAACGCAATCATACGAATTCATCGCTTGACAAGCTTAACCTTAATTCGAACCGCATATCTTTTAGGGATCAACTTGGGAAGCCATCCATCGGTGGACAATAATTTCTTTGTCGTCCATCATGATGCTCATCGTTAATTATAACCACGCGTCATTGTGTTTTTCGCGTAGCCTGCCAATCGAGTTCGTTTCGGACTGATTAATTGGCGATTATAAATTGGAAATTAATTGTATTATGCATTTGCGCCTATCATTTCGTTTCTTTTCTTTTCGAAGTACTAACTTTTTAAGTTTGGGAGAAAAATTAAATTTTTTTTTTTTTTAAATATTAATGTCCTAATGTTACAATCATTTGTAATAAATATATGTGGTACATATATTAGCATAGGAGAGAAAATTTTGGCAGTAGGTAACAAACAAATACAGTTTTGTAATTGTTTGATCGACCGATGGTACAAACAGACAAAAAGATATATTTCCGATTCCGAATATATTTTCTTTCGAACAATTGCTTTTTTTATATTACATCGATCGTTTCTAAATATTTCTGCGATTTTTCGATATAAATTTTTCAAAAATTATTGAAATCCCTTGGATTATAGGATTTTCGAAGTCTGATACTACACAATGCTGATATTACACAAAGTTACTAATCATAAAAGATTATTTAGATCATGATATTGACATTGTTCAATATCATTTGAAAGTCACAAAATTATTCGTGATCATATTCGTTTCTCCTCATTGAGATTGTTTTAATTCCGATCAAAGTAATTCGATAAAATTTAAAAGAAATTATTGTTATTATATTTGCATTGAAACGATTTGAAAATTAGAGATACTTATCTAATATTTATTTTGATTGGTTATAAAGATATTAATCTAACTAAAGGAAATTTGTCCGTTAAAAGGAATCGATGGAATGATATTTTGCCAGATGAGTAATATTCGCTTCTCTTTTTAGATTTTCTTTCCACGCACGAAGTCTCTGTGTTATTTTCCATACAAAAATAGTGCATGACTACAAATGTAATCGTAAATGCTAAACTACGTGCTAGGTTACGTTTTCTTTATTCAAAGCTATCGTAAAATGGTTGAATTTTTTCCCGAGTAACGTTTTAAAAATTCACAAGGCTGTGTTAACTGGTCGTTACATTATCGTTTTTCGAGCAATGGTATTAAATGAAGATAGCACAGTTATGATAAGACGAAATGTATATGAATATTCGGCGACCAAACTTGACTAATATTTTTACATTTTCGCCGAACTGATAAACAGTTGGCTTCGTTGTATATTAACTGGAACTAAATTTAAATACTTACGCATGTGGTCAAGGAAATCGCGAAGAAAACGTACGTGAAAACGAATTTCTACCCGTTAACTTTCTAAAAAAATAAATCTTCAGTTGATATCGAAAGTTGAGTAAAGAATTCTGCTTGGCAGATAAATTTCGTTCGAGTCTCTTCACTTATTATTTTATATCTTCTTTAATCGATAAACGAAATCGAAAATCCGGGGAAAAATTTAATTTTCCGTGAGTATGCTTATCGAAAATAAATTAATCGATCCGATCAAAAATATCGGCTGTGAAATAGAAACTGGATTATTTCTATATATTTTAATATATTATTAGATAATCTATATTATTTTGAATTATATTTATTTAAATTCAACGAAACTTATCATTAATACACTTTATTATATTTTTCTTTACGTTTCGAGATCTCCCTTTGTTGAAATCGAAACTGCATCGTGTATCAGTTTCCACGTACAATTTTACATACGACAACAATTCTGTTCTTCCAAAATAAATTTGAAATATCTTTCGCTATTAGTAGTGAATCGAAGTGATTTATGCGAATACAAGAATAAAAAATAATAACTCTCGATATAGGATTCTCGAAGCAAGAATAGATCGGAGAGATCTTGATTGGAGGAAAAACCTCGCTGGTGTTTTTTTTTTTAATACTTCGATCGATAGGAACGATTCGAGCAAGAGAAAAAAAAATAAAAAATAAAAAATGATTTATACGTTTTGGATCAGAACCAGCGCTCATGGTCTTCACGTGAAAATCCATTGACGCATGCTTTTCGCATGTTTGGCCGAGAGGTTGGAATACACATTTCCACACTTAGTAACCAGTCTTTCCGTTTGCTTGTGGCCTTCGTGTAAACTAAGATGCCATTCGTTAAAGAGAACGCGATTGAAATTTGCAAGGATAAAAGGATATCGAGATTAATACCTCGGTAATTCTGTGTCAAGGCTGACCTCTTCGTAATTTGGTTCGATTTAAACGATAATGGCTTTTTATAGATCTCTTTGACGATCTTTATTATTTGAAAATTTGCTCATGGACCAAAATTGAATCGGATTTGGCTATCGTAGGCGGGGTAGATATGTTGGAAGTACAATTTCGTTTTATCACGCTTTTATTATTATTGTGATTTATGTTTACAAGATTTATGCTTCGAATGTGTAAATCATCTTGCGATGCTTCTTTTTATTAGCTTCGACGCTGCTTGGAGAATTTATGATTTATTTCAAATAATTAATTCTACTAATTGATTTTTTTTATTTTTTATTATAAAATGTACCATACGTTTATTTTTACCTCTAAAATATAAAAATTTTCTCTTATTTTATTATCTTTTGTGTTTATATAAATTAGAAAATTTTTTATTTATATTTTCGCTACTATATGTAGCGAAAAAAAAAAGTGATAGATTGAGGATCGAGATTCTAACCTCAAATAAATGATTTTGTACTCGATCAAAAGTGGAAGTGGAAAAGTGGAATATATATTTATCGCGAGAAATATATATATAAAGCAGTCGAGATGAATTTTAAAAGATTTTCTTCTTTCAAGAAGGAAATTTGCATGCGGTAGCGCGAATGCCGATAGAGTAATTTTAGTTGGATCAAAAGGGTTATCGGTTTAAAACGGTGGAGTCGTAAAGGTCTCATTTTGCGTTTATCGAAGTTCATAGAAGTTAAGTTCTAAATTCCTGTGCAAACGATCATGTGAAAGTCAGGAATATCTTTTCTGAAACTTTTCCATTCTTTTCACTTTTTTCACGAGATATTATCACTAGAATTATTTTTAGTTCCAACTCGTGTCGATTTTACGATGATAATAAGAGAAATTTTGTAACAGATTTTTATCAATTCTTTAATCTCAAATTATCAGGACAAAGTAAATTGTTATATATTATCCGTATGAAAATCAGGGGAATCAGTTTTAATCAAATTTCTTGAGCTATTTTTCACAAGATGTTATCGTTAAAATATTTTTAAAATTTGAGAAAAAATTATTGTTAATATGAATATAAAGTAAAATCGAAGAATTAGAATTTACGAATACAATTTGTAAATACATAGTAAGATTCGTTAAGGAGGATTGATTTTATTTCTTATCGCATTAGACTATACATTAGACTAGACTATACAATAGATTGTATGATTTACTGTCATCATTGTTCCTCATAACATTCGCTGTTTTAATTATAAGTATATACTTATCTATAACTATAAGAATATAATAGACTATAAATATAAAAGTTGTACGGTATATAATCATGGATAAAAACACAGTCATTTTGAATTTACGAAAAATTTTTTTTCTTGAAATATTTGAAATATTTGAGAGATACATTTGAGTGAAAAATTATATTTTTTTTTTTAAATTGATATTTTTCAGATTGAAAAATATAAGATTCGTATTTATTCGGAAAATTTTATTGCAGATCTTCAAGTTATGTTACAAGTACTTAGGACAATATACTTGTAGAAGTACTTATAAACTTGTTATGTTTAATTGTTTGTTTGTTTGTTATTCTTATGATCAATTTAAATGATTTTTTTTAATTTTTATGTAATAATAATAATCTTTTTTTTTTTTAGAAATATCTCGAATAACTCGAAATCAAAGAAGAGATGCTTTTTCCAAAATTTCATCATTTTATTATATGAAGAAAATGCTTAAGGTTTTTTAAACAACGTTATAAGATCTATGTTATCTGTTAATTTTTATCTGATCAAATTTTATGATGATTAACCACATATGTAATTTACTCACTTATCTTAAAAAGTCAGTATCAGATTAATAAATCAGATAATCTTCAAAGAGTAATTTAATAAAAAAATTTAATAAAAAGATTAAAAGATTAAAATTAAAATACTTCATATTTTAGAAATTCTAACAAATTTGCAGAAAATTACACAAATTTAATCGTTTAATCATTGTATATAATTTTCTACAATTCTTTTGTACAATTCTGTACACCATAATTTTGTTTATAATTCCACATTTGATGTTAAATATTTCATTTATTATCTTCTCAAACAACACAAAACATCGTCTGTTTTTATGTCACTCGATCAACCAACCATCGAATTATCTACGCAGAACTTATCATTTTATTCAATACGTAAAACCAAAGATCCGCCTACAAGAAGTCCTCTTATCGGTCGGCGCCACCCACGATTGAGCTTTTCTTCCTTCGCATCATTTTACTCTTCGTCATGAATGGAAAGAATCTTTTGAATAATAAATAAGAAAAGGGAAAAAGGGAAAAGAAAAAAGAAACCAATCAAGAATTTTTGCAAACAATTTTAGCACGTTTCCAAAGATAAATCCGCAATTAATTGCAATTCGCGTTTTCAATTGTTTGCAATCTCTTGACGCGGAGTTAATTAAAATCATTATCAGATAACAGTACAATCTTCAAATAATTTCCGAATGAATTTATTGTGTCAGACGATTAAACTTGGAAGCCATAAATTAGCGAAGCGTTAAAATCGATTACCGGAAATTAGTTAAATTATAAAGGGAATTTGATCCAACTTCTTCCTTTTTCTTTTTTTCCTTTTTTTTTTTTTTTACTTTATTGCAACACGGTTTTGTGTTTCGTAAAATCGATTACAAAATTATTTTCTTTATTTAAATATTTAATTTTTAATCCTTTCATTGTACACGTATTTCAAGCTCATTTTATGAGTTTTATTTTGATTTAAATTTTTTCGAGTCAACAAATAAATTAGTGTAAAATAAATAAAATAAAATATATAAATATTTCAAGATAGACTAATGATTACGTTAAATTCGAGTACCATTCGAATAACGGTACAATAATTGTGTTATGCATAATATAATTATACAAATATACAAATATACAAAATACGGTGTAGAATGAAATAATAAATATTTTTCGTAAAATATACCGAGTATTTGGAATACTTAATAAGATCAAACAATCTTTCAACAACAATCTGTCACGTTATGATAATAATCGTTAACGTTTTCCTCCGTCATCGCGATCGTGAGGCTATTATCAGCGGAATGTCTCTGCACTTTCCGCAAACTTCCTGCCCGGATATCTGGTCGGCCTCGCCCATTCCAGGATTTCAACGAAGGCCTGGTCGCTTTTAAAGCGAGCCACGTCAACACGTATCCTTAACACGATAACCTTTTACTCCACCAATGCGATGATAACTAAAAGTAGAACGTTATACTGTATCGTTCAGCGGCAACGATCCGGTTTAAATGCGGGATCTTCGAATGTCTTATCGAGCGCCACGTATATATATATGTACAATTCATATCTCAATTTTTGTTTTTTAAAGAGCAACCTATCTAGAATTTTCCTTTAACGAAATGATTTTAAATCGTCGATAAAGAGAAATTCTCGATAATATTGTTGGCTAGAAGAAGAAAATATTGCTAGAATTGTCTATAAATAATCTGGTTCATCTGCATTTAGATTGATACCTATCGTTCCTCCGTGGCGCCATTAAATTGTTCAACTGTTGAGCGGATTTCACCGCGTGAGATCGAGGCTGGTTAGAAAATCTCGAACGTAATATCGCTTCGAAGTTTCTTCGAAAGATAAAAACGTAATATTAATAACACGAGGAAAATAAACGAGTACTTTAAACGCGCGAGTCTAATGTACGTATTGAATAAAAACAACAAGATGCGTTGGTAATCGTGAAACGCACAATCTTGAAACAAAACATATGCTTCGTTCGTTATTTATTCACGTATTTATAATTTGCGTAAAATTAAAAAGAAAAAAAAAATGCAACATCTTATCTCAAACTGTTTAAGCGGCTTATAATTAAATATACGCGAAAAAAAAAGAAATAATAAATTTTCATTTTCGATTCGAGAAAAGACAAAGAAGAAACAATCTCGACAATTTTACGATCTCTCCTTCCTATCAATTCAATGCTACTTAATCGTTCACGGTCTTATATAATCTAATCGTTGCTCAGAAAATTCCATACCATTTTCGTTCACCGCTATTATCTTTCATCTTAGAACTCGTTGGAAAGAAACTAAAAAAACTTATTTTTTTTCTACCTAAGGCCACCCAATATAAATATAAATATATATATATATATATATATATTTTCAAATAAAAAATATTCACGAAATTTTTCAACTTCTCGGGACTGTTCGACTTATCCGACATGCGGTGCGACGAGCAATTGCGATAATAGTTGCGTCTTCTGTTCGCAGGATGGTATTGGACCCCAAGGTCACGAGTCTGCATAGTGATTACGGAAGCTTCGATCGACCATTGGGCGCCGGAGAGGGCCACGAGAGGGACGTCGAGGCGGCGGTTGATGGAAGTAGCAACGGTATGGCACAGTCGAGCGACGTTTATCAACGGCAGCCGTTATTACCTGGTGCACCGACCAAGGGCAAGGATAAGTGGTCCGGCGTGGCATCCGGCTCCGACTATTACGTGGACGACGAAGACGAGAAGATCGACAGTCTTGGCCGGCACCCTGGCATACCAAATGGCTCTGGGAACGGTGTCGTTAAACTCGACATACCTGCACCACTTCGAGAAGAACCTCGTTTCCCTAAAGAGAAATGGAAAACGTTCCTTGGTAAGGATTCTTTCCGCTCTTCGTATTGATATATGAATTTTCCATCAGATTTGAGCTGATTGTTTGTGCACAATTTGCCACTTGGAGGAGGAGGTTACGTAGATCGTCTGACGTCACGTTTTACGCTAGGAGTAGTAAAAGGGCGGACAAACTGACTGCCAATTGAATGTATATCACGCCAACAGAAATTCCCTCTCGAGGGAATAATGACGTCACATTATTCGCACTCCCACTCTACACCCACGTCGTTATATCACCCGCGTCTAACCATAAACGAAGTAATCCTCATCATCTGTCTATAGCATGAGTCAGACGTCATCGGGTATGTTAATTTTCCTTCAAAAAAAAAAAAAAAAAAAAAGAAATTTGATTATTAAAGTCTGACGTCATATAATACGCGTTCTACAACAATGTTGGTAAGAAGTCTCGTAGGATTTATAATGTGACACTTTTCTGGCTGTTATTATCGCTTATTTCTTGTGTTGAACGTATTAAATCTTCAAAAAATTTCTTACAATAAACAGTTAATCATTTCAAGGAAAAAGGAAAAAAACGCTTTTTGTTCTAAGGAGTTTATCGTTAATTATTATATTGTTATATCTTCTTTATAATGATGATCACAAGATTATCAAAGATTATTAACTTCGAGAGATTGAATTTGAAGATTACTTTATACAAAAGACTATTATATAGAAATGAAAGAAAAAAAAGATTGTGTTGTGTGTGACTTACGTTTGAATTCATCACGATATTGAATCCCTGTTAGACGAAATTTTGATTAGATATCTTGTTATTAATTTAGAGAAAAAGAATCATGAGATAAGAATTTACAAACAAGATACAATGATAACACGAAAAAAGAAGATATATTCCTCGTGTAACTTCGTTGATCTTTTTAGGGCCAAGCTTCTCTCGTACACGCGTTCCATTCACACGAACAGGGGATGTCCATCGAAATCGAGATCGAGGTCGCTACGTGGCCTGGTATTTCGATGCAGATCTGGCTGATCTAATACAGAGATGCTTGATGTGTTCTTGAACGATAAATCCAAAATGATGGACTCATTAAAATCGGATTACTGACAACACCCGTTTAAGTTGATTCTGTTTCAAAACTAGATTGTTGCGTGACAAAGTTCTCCGCTCTTGTAAACGTGTTTCATTTCAATTGTTATCAGTGGCAAGTTAAATAATAATTTGCTTTTTTTTATTTTTTTTACAAGATAAGATATAAACGTCATGCTGTAATCTTACATTCACTGCGTTAAGTTTCTGCGTCTAGAATTTTAGAAACAAAATTTTATTCAATTATTCAATGATAATTCAATCAATGTATTATAGGTGGGAAAAGTTTTTTGTTTAATTTGATTAATGACAATTGAAATACATATTTTAATGCGTCACTTGATATATTAATGAATGAATATGAAATTAATCCGTTCTTTTGTTGTTATATTCTTAGACTCGGAGGATTAAAAAAAAAAATGAAATTGTTCTATGAATGTTTGCGGATATATGAACAGGTTTGAAGGTGGAAAAGTTTTTCTCTTGTTGGTTGAAAGCCAGAACAACTGAATTTTGGCATGATGCCATTTCCTGAGAATGTGTATTATCGTGGTAGCAGCTTTTATGTTGCAGCTTAATATATAGAGTGTCTCAAGATAAATGGCGATGGATTGTTATTAATTAATTTTTTAAGAGAACGAGAGAAAGGAAAAGAGAAAGAGAGAATATATGAAAGTCTAAAATATATATTTTTATGATTAATAAATTTTAATGACGTTAAAAATTTAAAGTAAAGAGAATATTATTTGTCAGATGATTCATCCGCATTCATTAATGCGGAAATCTTTAATAAACAAATAATAATTTCTCACTTTTAAATTACCATAATGTTCTCTTATATAAGAACGTTGAACTTATTTATTTTACTCATTTAAGAAAAGAAAAATAAACGCAAAAAAATATATGCTATTAAATACATAAATAAATTGACATAATGAATCGAAATTAACAACAAAAAGATATAAGATTTATTTATTTCAAATTTTTATTTATTTCAATCGTTTGTCGCATTTAGTACGTATCGTACATCTGGTAGATAGGCGCTCGCTGGTATATGCGTTTTACTTTTGAAATATATATTGTTGTGCATTGTGTATCAAAGCGAAAGGGAATATTCTGTGGAAAAAAGCGGCAAACAGAGAAGGAAAGCGCGAACGAGCAAGAGAGAAAGAAAAACAAGAGGAGAGACCGAGTTGTTAGAAATTTCGGAACAAAGGAAGCATAGCCGTGCAAAGTGGAGTACTAACTCCGTTTCTATGTTCACCGACTATAAGAGAAGACTATAAAATGCACCACGATGACTGTTACCTCTGTATTCTATCGTACACGCGCGATATTTGACTAAACTGCGGTGACCCGCATGCTTGAATCACTAGTTTATTTTCAGCCGATTGATGCATGTTAGCTGCCATTGTTTGAAGGAAAATAAATGATACATTGTACGATTTCCTCGAATTTTAATTAAATTAAATGAATTGTTTAATTAAATTAAATAATCGTGGGTAATTGTGTACGATCAATAATAGGATTAAGATTCGAAGAATTATTTTTAGAAAGAAAGAAAGTTATTTTAATTAAAAAAAGATACGTGTATTTTTAAAAAATAATTTAAATATATCTTGATTATCAATGTATTTATTTTTAAATATAATTTTGATCTCTTATATAATATTTATTTTTAGGGCAAGTTTAACGAATTCTAATTAAGAAACGTGTACAAGAAATATCATAAATATTTAAAATAAAGAATAATCTATTTGTAAGATGATAAGAATTTTTTTATGAATTTGTCTTTATTTAAATATTTGGGATCTTTTGTTCCGATACTGAAGATGTGATTTATGTTGCAGCATTTCTATTCATGGTCGTGAACTTCATATTAACCACCGCGTCCCTCGCAATGGTGCACGAACGGGTTCCGGATCGAAATACATACGGACCGCTCCCGGATATAGTGTTAGACAATATTGCCGCTCAGGATTGGGCCCTTAACGTGTCGGAAGTTTTGATTATGATATTGTCCAATTCAGCGATGGTTTTTATTATTTTTCATAAACATAGGTACGTATTGTATACGAATATCGAAAAATTTTTATATATATATATGTATATATAAAAATTGAAATTTTTGCTCGACAGGTTTGGATCAGATGTAAAAAAACAAGTAACATTAGTATTAATACAGCGTAAAAAAAAATTGCAAGGCAGTCGTTTTGCCACTTCTTCAAATTCTTAAATCATCAAATTTGAGCTAACGAGATAGAATTTTTGGTCATTATTGTAGGTAATGTTTGTGTCTACTTATTATTTTACAAAATATGTTGGTTTTTTTAGGTTTATCGTTGTTAGACGAATATTTCTCTTGATGGGATTGCTGTACTTGATGAGAAGTATCACGATGTACGTGACAGTACTGCCTGTTGCCAGTAAAACGTATTACTGCAGCCCAAAAGCAAACAATACCAGTCCTTTACTCGTTACAAAAAGGGTTTTGCAACTCATTTCTGGCTTTGGCTTGTCTATAAACGGCAAGCATACTTATTGTGGAGATTACATTTACAGCGGTCATACAGTCGTGCTTGTACTTAGTTACCTGATTATCAAAGAATGTAAGTATTTTTTCTATGATATATATATATATATATATATATACTAGTTAGAATAGTATAGAAATGTTCGTGACATGTTATTTATTTGCATGTAAAAAATCGAACGATTAAAAGAAAATGAATATTTAAAAATATAGATTCTCCGAGAAGATGTCAACCAATACATTGGCTAGCGGGCATTATTGTTCTTATTGGGGTAATTATGGTCTTGGTAGCTCACGGACATTATACCGTAGATGTCTTTATAGCATATTATGTAACTACACGCTTATGGTATATCTATCATACGTTAGCTAATAATTCACATCTTAAGGTAAGTTGAACTTTTTTTTTTATTAATGCTTTGTCTTAAAAATTGATACTGATATTATATAAAATTATAATACTGATATTATAAAAATATAAATAATGAGGGGGGAAAAATAATATATATATATATTCTGAATATAAAGTAGATTGAACATGGATATTGAATATATTGAAATAAAATTGCAGCAATACGAACCAAACAACTTTTTGGCCCGACTCTGGTGGTTTCCTATCTTTAAATATTTTGAGAAAAACGTGGGCGGCACGGTGCCACGACAATACGACTGGCCTTTACCCTGGCCTCGACGATTCCTTGCCAAACACCCTAATCGGGACAGTTAATGTCTGTCTCTGATTTCATGATAGAGGCTGTCAAACAACGGAGTTACTTTGTTGTAATTTATGTATATATATATATAAATATATATGTATACGTACCTAGGCATATAAAAATGTGAAGATAAAGCTTTACTAGAAAGTGGTGCGAGAGATCTGTGTGCAAGTTTTCGTCATTATTGATGAGTAAATTCAATTTCGAGATGTAAACTTGCGGTGTTCACTTCTTTAAGAAAGAAAAGGAAAGAAAAGAAAAGAAAAAAGACAACTACAACAACTATGATGAAAACTATGATAAAAAACATG